CCCCAAAACCCCAAAACCCCAAAACCCCAAAACCCCAAAGGATAAAGTTCTTATTGTTATTAAATTATTAAATATGAGAACTAAATACGATAGTGATCTGAAAGTAGGGGATTTGTCTCAAGAGAAGATGCTCGATGATACAAAAGATGGTAAGCTTTCTTTAATGTCATTTTCTTCATTTCTTAACACATCTTTTAGACACCATGGAAACAGATGATCCAGATGTCATTGTAGAACAACTCCTTGACGCAGGATATGAGTTCAAATCAACTGGCTATAGATGGACTATCATTCTGCTATTCGCCCTGAATTTTTTTGGAAGAGCCATTGCTCAGGTCGGATTTGTTGCTTGTGCTAGAATCATTCAGGGTATGTTTGGTGTAAATCCAATTCATACAACACTCCTAGTATTGCCATTCAGTTTTTCAATCTTGGTCTTGCTATTCCCATATGGAAAAATCGCTAACACGTTCGGTTTGGTTATTCCAACAAGAGCAGCAGTGATAGCTCTAGTGATTGGCGCTTGGGTAAGATATTTTGTCACTTCTGGATTCGGATGGCTGATTGTAGGACAGTGCATTATTGCAATCGGAAGTCCTTTGAGTCTAATCGCTCCAGCTAAAATAGCTTCCATTTGGTTCCCTGACAACCAACGAGCTCTTGCAACAATGATTGGATCACTAGCTACTCCTCTAGGATCTGTGGTTGGGTTTGTGATACCATTCATTTTTATTCAAGACGAAGACGGAGTAGACACTCCTGAAGCCCACGCCAAATTCAAGAAATACATTTTATGGCAAAATATCATCATTATCATTCTCAGCTTGCCGATATTCTTCTTTGTAAAGAATAGACCTTTGATTGCTCCAAGTGTATCAGAGCTCAAAGATAGATATACCAAGAAAGGCAATGATACAGTAGAGATTAAACAGCTTGTCACGACCAAAAATTATATGCTCTACGTGTTCACATTTGCAGCTATTCACATCACGTTCATTTGCTTTGGAGCTGTAATGGGTCAGCTGGTATCGGTATTCGGATTCCGTGCCACAGACAATCAATACTTTGGAATAAGTTATATCTTGTTTGGGATGGTCGGTTCTTTCGCGCATGCATCGATGCTGGATAAGCACAAGAAGTTTAGAAAGCAAATCTGGGTGATAATAATTACAAACATTGTTGCAGGGATTATACTTGTTGCAACAATAAACATCGGGAATGTCGTCATCACTAGTTTAGTTGTTGGCATTGTAGGAATAGGGCACTTACCAAACATTGGAGTAGGATATCAATTTGTAACAGAAATAGTCTACCCAGTCGGTGATAACTTATCGATAGGTGTACTACAATTAATATGTTGCTTCCTCGGAATATGCTACACATTCCTTACAGCAACTTTTGTAAAGATGGGTTGGAAATGGGTTGCTGTACTCTCCTTGATTATTCCTCCTTTCTTCAGTGCAGTTCTTTTCTATTTCGTGAAAGAAGACTTAAAGAAACATAGAGAATCAATTAGATTCAGTGAAGCAAGAAGTAGCATGCTTGATAGTCAGAGTGATTTAGATGGTTAAAATAAGCTGTTAAAACAATGCTCAAAATTATTTCAAAAATAATTAAATTCCAATAAATTTGCTAAGCTTAGGGGTTTTGGGGTTTTGGGGTTTTGGGGTTTTGGGG